AATCAGCTGGTTTTGCTTAGATAGAAAACTTTGAATCAATTTGACTGGATGCTCTTGTGAACTGTAAAGTGCTTTTAGAGAACATGTGTTGTGAATTGGTGCTACATAAATAAACTGAATTGAATTAAATTGACACATCCTGGGCTCCTGTTTCAGAGTTTCAAAGTCTGGCTCCTCTGACCGCCTTCTTTTGAATCAAATCATCAGGAAATGCAGCTGCGATCAAACAGGGGTGAATAAAAAGCTTTTAAACTTACATCTTATTAGGCTGGATTTATTCCCGATGTTTGGTTTTCCTGAAATATAAAAAATAAAACGTTGACATGAGTGTTGAGTTTTTCAGGAAGAGCAGGTCAAACAGGATGAAGGGCGGAATCATCATCCTCTGCAGCAGGCGGATCTGATGGTGACGGTTCAGAGCAGGTTTAACATGTGGAGATAATCTGAGCTCCTGTGTTTAAGACGTGAATATTTATTTCCTACAGAAAAAGAATCAAGAGGATTTTAAACAAAGGTTTATTTTACGGTTCAGTTTCCATCCTTTTTCACCTTTGCTAATCAGTGTGAAGATACTAATGGATTTAAAGACCATTTCTATGGTTCAAACAAAAAATTTTATTTTATATCTTAAAGAGAAATCTAAATAAATAAACAAACAATATTTCAAAATAATCAATGTTCTCATCCAGTGAGCTGTTTTCTGAACACACTTGGAGTTAGTTCATGTGCAGCACAGATAATCCTACCAAACTGTTTGGGATTTCCTGGTTTTCCTGAAGGCACCGGCTGTACAGATTAAGAAAGCTGTCAATAAAAACGGATGCTAATAAATAACATACCTATATTTTTTCCTTGTTTCAGTTCATATATCCATCTGATATCCAATGTTTTTAAACAAGTTTAGAAATTAAAACTTTGCAACAAGACAAGTAAAAACTGCAAATTTCTGGCTACAAATCTACACCTAAAGTAGCTGTTACACTCCTTACCAGAGGGAGGCAGTAAGGAGCCTGAAAGTTGTTCACCAACCTCAGTTAACGAGCGTTAACAGAGGCTGGTCTGTTAACCATTAACTGAAAAGTTATATCTTTGTTGAATTGTTTTCATCTCATGCACAGTATAACCCTTGACTTGTGGTTCAGTTTTTCTTCTCTTTCTTTCTCTGCCTTAAAACCTGGCAAACATTTTTCAGGCCCATTACTGCCCTCACCTGGTGAGGAGTGTAAGAGCTGCATCAGCGGTTGTAAATCTGTGATTTGTACTTATGTCGTTGCAAAGCCTTCCACCGTCCACCAGACTGTAGAGCAGCTGAGCGGCTCCTTTACTGAAAGACTTTTACATCCTGATTGTAAAAAAGTCCCTCTGATCCCTGCTGCCAGCAGACTCTACAATGCAACACTACGGCAATAACTTGTGCAGTATCCTGTTTCTCTATATTTGACCCCCAGTGCAATAACTATATGTAAACATTATTATCCATCTATATAAATACCCATGTAAACACCTTGTGCAATAACCCTGTATAATGAACCTACTATATACTGTAAAAAGAAAAAGCTGTCATATGTGGACACAGTGTATATATCCGTGCACCTTTTTCTTCCTTTTGCACAGTCCTCTCCTTTGACTATTTGAGCTGATGTAACGAGTACATTTCTTCTCTGTGAGATCAATAAAGTCAATCAATCCATCAATAAACTTTTTTTTTCACAGATAAAATTCTTATTTCACATGTTTATGAGTTGACAAAAAGAAACTAATAAAATAAGATTTATTTATGTTTCTTAACACCAATGCAAAGGTTTATATTGACTGCTATCTTACGCCATGATGCTGCCTCTGTGCCGGGCGGAGGGACGGACATTTTCCCCTAAGTCTGGAGGTGGAAGCACCTTCTCCTCCAGGTTTCTACAGGTCCGATTCCCCTGAGAAATAAACATCCTCACTACTCATTCACAAAGTGAACAAGCAGAAGAGAAAAATCCAACCTGCAGCTGACTGTCAGCAAAGTTTTCCACTCTATGTTCAATGATTTTCATCCTCTGCTAAATAACAGAGTTTTAAAGAAAACCACTAAGTGACTGAACTCCTGGAGATGGTGGATCACTGAACCTGGATTCTTATCCCTGAGCAACAGAAGAAAGAAGCTGCTGGTACCAAATGGAGGAGGCTTCAGAGAAAACCAGAACCTTGACCTGATGATAGAGATAATCTCCTGATTTCCATTGCTCATCCTGCAAAGGAAGCTCCTTTCTGCTGCTTGGAATCAGGATCTGGATCTTTCATCAGGATCCGAACTTTATGACCAAAGGAGAGGGTTGGAGTCATCTAGAGCTCTTTGAAGCAGAGCTTCAGCTTTCAGCTCAGCCTCCACGTCACTCTGCAACATGACAGCAGGATACTGAACCTCTTTAGGAGAGGAAAGAAATCCTGCTTCTACCTTTTGATCCAAGCAGATATAAAGTAAGAAAGCAAACTTTAATTTTAAAGCACTATTTCCGAAGGCGCCTCATATGATAAAAAACATAGCAATACAGGTAAAAACAAGTAAAGCAAAGATAAATTAATGAATAAGATGATTAGCTGCTGTGAAAAGCTTGAGTAAACAGTCAAATTTTTAGCTGCATTTTAAAAGTGTCCACAGAGACCACAGCTCAGAGGACCAACCAGGATCAGATAGATCAACGCCAGATAGAAAAACTTCTAGGAACCACGGAACTCAGAACATCAGAGGAGAGAAAGCCGGATCAGATTACATCATCATCATCATGCCGTGTCTTCAGTTCATCTCTGAGAGCTGGGGTCAGGTCTCTTCTTCTAATCTCATGGATTCAGACTGTTTGGAGTCAGCCTGCTAGGATATGTCATGGTGGACGTCTCCAGCACAGCTGATGACAGCATGTGACGTCTGACTGGGCTGGAGCAGAGCCAGCCAGAGAAGAAAGGGGGAAGATCTGGAGCAGCTTTGAAAAAAGGAGCCCGGTGACCTCAGGGGAGCCTCCTTCTTCTCCTCTTCAGAAGGGAAACATCAGAGAAGACGACCAGCTTCTGCTCCAACTTTTCTTCTTGAAGCTTTGAGTCAAACTTCATCAGGTTTCTAAAAAATGTTTCCACCTCTACTTCAAATGCAAAGCTGACATCAACGAGGAAAACAGTCACTGAGATATTTTAACTAATATGACATAAAAAAAATTATTGGAAGACTTTCAGGTTAATTCTGTCTTTAGTTCTGTTGGAACATTGCCTCGTTTTTTTAATCTGATTTTTGTTTTAAAGCGGACAGATCCAGTAAACAAAGATCATCACTTCAAACAACCTCATTCCTGCATCACAGTGAATAAAACCCAAACAGGTTTAACTGTCCTATAAAAGTCTTCCTTCATCAGAATCAGACCTAAAGTGATATTTCTCTGGATTCATGCATGCCTGAGCTTTCCACACAAATTCTGCTCCCTGAGCAGCATGAGAGGTCTATCTAAGCCGTCTATCTATTCTATGACACCTCGATCTATGCTTTTCGTAAGAAACCAAGAGGAGCATAAACGCAAACAACATTCATAGTTCCAAAATATATCACTAGAACAGATTTTCATGAAGCCGTGGCCAGTAAAGCTCACACATAGAATTAAGTTATGGTTCTACATATTACATACATAAAACTACGGTAGAGGATTAGGGCCACTGAAAAAAAAAAAAGTAAACTGATTTTTACATTTTTTTCAGTTTAACATGGGACAAAAGTCAGAAATCTGACATTAAAGTCAGAATTCTATACTGAAATAAAAAAAAAAACAGGTTCAGCTGTTGTTCTTTATTTTTAATAACATAGAAGACGCCTAAATGACTGCAAGGAAAAACTCTGCCCCATAAAATCTAAAAACTGATTTATAAAATAGCAGTAATCCTGCATTAGTCATCTTTATGGTATGTTGTTGAGAATAAGTTGTTGCTGTATTTTTGTTGTCAGTCTTTTGTTAATATAATGACTTTAAAATGACAGAGTAGGAATCTGTGTTAACACTGATAACGAAGAACAGCTTTTCAACGTCTCTACAAGCAGCAGTCAGGACATGTCAAAACGACTGAATTCAAAGCATAAATTAAAGCTCTGACTTTCCTTAGGTTTATTAAGTCAATAATTTAAAGAAAAAACATTTAGAAATGTAGATGAATGAAGCAACTTTTGTTCTGGATTGTTAAAATGGCCGCAGCGTGGCCCTGCAGTAGGACCGACCTCCTCCTGGAAGCATCTACATTACAGGACCGCCTCTTCCCCACAAACAGAGGCAGCAAACGTTGATATTTGGCAGAGAAAACCAAAATCCTCACAGCTACTATTACTATCTGTTCTTTTTTAGCTAATGTCTTAGTCAGGCTTAGACCAGGCGAACCCAAAGTCAGTCCTCAAGGGCTGCTGTCCTGCAGGTTTTAGAGGTTTCCCTGCTTCAGCACAGCTGATTTTCAGTAAAAGCCGATTTAGCCTTTGCTGAAATGCAATCATCAGAATCAGCTGTGCTGAAGCAGAGAAACCTCTAAAACCTGCAGGACAGCGGCCCTCGAGGACCGTCTTTGAGCATGCCTGGTCTAAGTAGTATAATGTGTTTTTCATCTGAAAGAAGTCTCCTAAAGGTGAGCCCAAGCCCCAAAAGACGTGTGATGACAACTGCAGCAGCTCCTGCACATCATCATGAAATGGGCGACAGAAAGAGAAGCATGGTCAAAGTCAAGGCAAGTGTCCTTCTACCAAGTTGGAGCAAAACAACTAATATTTGTAATGATGAATCCTCTATAGAGCCAGGAGCAACATTTAATCATATTTATGCCTATTGTTGACTTTGGAAGGCTTAGAAACACAGATATCGAACATTTAATTTAATAAAATCAATGAGAAATACAATAAAATGTCCGAAAAGTACATAAAATCTGTTACCTACTAACCTAAAACATTTAACTACTAAATAAAAAGGGAGATTTAACAGTGAACAGTTTAGAAAGTGATATAAATCAAGATCTTTTATGAGGAGAAAAGTTCTGGCTCAGCTTTGACCAAACCTAAAGCCTTGAAATGAAGATTTTAGAATCACCAAAGGTCTTAAAATCAGATGGTAGTGAGTTCCAGAGTTTGAAACCTTGAACAGAGGCTGTTTGTGCAAAGGTTTCCCTCCAGCTCTGTTTTATAGATTTTCTGCTGTTGGTGACTCTATCGTTGTTCCCTACTAATGTAGACACTAAGTCAGGCACTGAACCACTGAAACAACTGAGGATTGATTAAGAGAACGAAATCTGCTCATTATACAGTATATTCCAAGAACAGTGCATAACTTTTATAGTTGAGTTATATAAAGAGCTGATATGTGTAATTATAGTAGGATTGCTCGACGCTCCTCTACAGCTTCAAGCTCTGACATTCAGCTGAAGATGTTTGGAGGCTCAGATTATCCATGTGTTGAAATGTTATATATAAGTTTTTAACAGCTGAAATGAGACTAATTCTAACCTAGAAGCAGACAAATCAGAAAAGCAAAAGCAGCTGAAGTCTGAGCTACACCTGTTCAGGTAACCCAGCTGCTCCTCCTGAGACCCTCAGACACCAGAGAGAGAAACCAAAGTCATGAAGAAGTGAGAGAAATGAGCTGAACTGACCGACTTTCAAGGTGAACATGTTTCTTTGGTCCCGCTGCCTCACTGTGAACAGTCACTGCTGGAATCCACTGCAAACAGTATAATTTAGCTCCGCCTCCGGACGCACGGCAACGTCCAATGAACAGCTGCAAACACACAGATTCATCTTTATTATCATTCTTATCTCAGGGTGAGGAATGTTTTACACCTTAGTTTGCAGGAGGAGTTTACTCAGCCTGGCAGCAAACATAGTGAGAATTCAAGAACAGATGCATCAGTTTTATTAGTACTTCAGCAAGATGGTTATAAAACACATGTTAAGATGATCTGTCAGTTCA